ACATGCTCGAGGTTGATGTTTGACCTTGTTGTTTATATTGTTGAGGGGGAGGGTTTGATTGTTGGGGAGGTTGAGAGTTTCCGTACCTTAAATTTGGATGATCCCTCCACCCCGGATTGTACGTGTTGCCATGAGGGTCATATCTTCTTTGACCTTGGAAACCCAAAGCATTGACTTGCTCGGGGTTCTCCTCTTGAAGTGTTGGGCAGGCATCGGTAGGATGCCCTTGTGTTGAGCATATGCCGCAGACCTTTACTTCTTGGGTTTTTGGATTCAAAAGAAAATCTTTAACCAAAGAAGTCAAGCCGGCCACTTGACTTTCCAACGAGTTGTTGGATTCCGCTGCCATCACTCTTTTCGATGATGACCTCCCATTGTAATGTCTCGAGTTTTCGGCCAACTCGGAGATGAGGTCCCTTGCTTGGGAAGGGGTCTTGTTAACAATGCCCCCTCCGCATGCCGCATTCACCATGCGTCTATCTTGATCAACAAGCCCATCATAGAAGTAGAGGATGAGATCTTGTTCCGAATACCCATGATATGGGCAACTAGCGCATAATTTCTTAAAACGCTCCCAATATTCGTACAAGGTCTCATCATCTGCTTGCTCAATGTTGCTGATTTGCTTTTTGAGACTTGAAGAGATAGATGCGGGATAGTACCTGTCGAGGAAGCTCTTTTTCATTTGAGCCCATGTGTTGATGCTACCCGAAGGAAGATAGAAAAGCCAATCCTTCGCGGTGTCTTTTAAGGAGAATGGAAAAGCCCTTAGCTTGATTTGTTCCTCGGACACACCATTGGGGCACATGCTTGTGCACACAATATGGAATTCCGACAAGTGTTTGTTCGGATCTTCCCCTCGTAGGCCATGAAATGACGGGAGTAGATGGATGAGCCCAGATTTTAGCTCGAATGTGACCCCCGTATCAAGAGTTGGGAAAGTGATACAAAGGGGTTGTTGATTTAGATTCGGAGCTGTGAGCTCCCTTAATGTTCTTGTTTCATGAGCCATAGTGATTGGCTCTTCGGTCTCGCTAGATTGAGAACTAGCACTTGATGATTCTCCCGAGTCGGAGTTTGAAAATTTGTTTTTCAACCGCTCGAGAGTTCGTTCTATTTCGGGGTTTGAGTGGTATGTGATTTCGTTCAGTGAACGATATTTTACCATATACTACAAAGCTCAGAAGAAATAGAAATCTTTATACTTGAACCATATTTTTTTCTTTCTTTTTCTTAAAATAAAGTAAAAAGAAGAATTAATTGCCTTTCCCCGGCAACGGCGCCAAATTTGACGTGCACTTTGTCGTGAGTGCACTCAAAATAAATTTCAATACAACACTTATACGTAGTATAGCGTAGTAGAGTTCGTATCCACAGGGAAAGGAATAACTTTCTTTTTATATAAATAGTAAGTAAAAGGGGGGGTTTTGATTGTTGAGTGATTTAATTAAATTAAACACGAAGATGAACGATTTATATGGGATTTAATTCAAAGATAAAAGGGACTTGGTCTTGCTACTTTCCACTTGTTGATATATTTTAGTCGATCATTGTTATATCCATAACTTATCCCCTCTCGAATACTCAATCGCGGAGTATAACCAGTTCATCGAGGGTAGTTATTAACAACGACCGTTCATTAATAACCCTTACTATTAATCAAATATAGAACAACGCCGTATACCGATATAATAGTAGCATTCAATCTATTTAACTCCTTGATGAAATCAATTGAGATTGATAACCTCAACGCAACGGTTTTGGTTTAACCAACAAAATTGATCCCTCTTAAGTTTATTAACCACGACCGTGCATTAACAAACCGAAGTTACTTACCTGTGAAACCTTCAACGTTTAACCATCGGTTCATTGAACGTTTCTAGTAATAATCAATGTTGGAACGTTAACTAATCGTCACTTAGCCACCCTCCAACAATGATATAGAATGAGATTAAGGGAAGAATTAATATTCAAGAGGAGAAAGTAAGAAAATAACTCACAACTTTAATAATCAATCAAGCTTCAAGAGCAAAACCAAGAAATGGAAGTTTAGCTCCTCATTTGGAGACTAAACATGCTAAAAGAAATATAGAGAAATGCTATTCTAAACTGAGCTTAAGAGTATATGGGAATTGGTATCTCATTGTGAAGGAAAGGGGGTGTATTTATAGGCTTTTGGGATGGGACTTCGAGTACTCGATCGAGTATATACATAGTACCCGATCGAGTATGTGTGAAATGCCAGATTCGAGGTATACTCGATCGATTCAGCTTTAAAAATCAAAGGTGTACTCGATCGAGTATACATTCATACTCGGTCGAGTATGCGTAGAAAGTGATATTCGTGCCATACTCGACCGATTTCGGGTTTAAATTCAAAGGTATACTCGATCGAGTATGTCGGTCTACTCGATCGAGTATAGACATTGAATCGTGGTAAAAATCTTCCCGGCATGTTCCTTTGTCTTCGGATCCGATTTGATTTGAAGTTTCAACCTTATACCCGATCGAGTATAGGTAATACTCGACCGAGTAAAGGTAAAAATCAGGATTTTTCCCTTTTGTCTTGTGATTTGCACCTTCTTTCCACTTTTGGGGTTCACCAACCATCCTTTGAGTGATAATGGACCTGTTTGAGCTCAGAATAATCCTAATCTAAACAATTTACAAGGATTTAACAAACTAAACTATTACACCAAAAGTGTGTAATTTCCGAAACATTAAACAACCAAAACTAGCTAAAAACATAAACATACACACGGAAATTACAAGTGTATCATTGCACCATATAAATAGTTTCATCAATGTCACCATTGAGAAACGCCGTCTTAACATCCATCTGATGAAGCTCTAAATTAAAATGTGCAACTAAAGCCATAATGATTCTAAAAGAGTCCTTTGATGAAACCGGAGAAAAGGTCTCTTTATAATCAATTCCTTCTTTTTGAGTATAACCTTTAGCTACAAGACGAGCTTTATATCTCTCCACATTACCCTTTGAATCCCTTTTGGTTTTAAATATCCATTTACAACCAATGGGTTTACAACCTTCGGGTAATGGGACGAGTTCCCAAACTTTATTGTCTTGCATAGATTTATACTCCTCATTCATTGCCACAATCCACTTTTGAGAATTTGAACTTTTCATGGCTTGACGGAAGTTGATAGGATCATCTTCCATAACACCACTTTCTTCCTCATGTTCTTGAATAAACACAAGGACATCGTTCTCTGTATCCATGCTTGACGCATGTTCTTGGAGATATACAACATAATCATCCGGAATTGCGTATCTCCTCTCTCTAGTGGATCGCCGCAATGACACATTTTCTTGTTGCACTTGTTCCAGAGGAAGTTGAGTTTGTTCATTTTGAACAATTTGTTCAGTTTGGAAAGGAGAAGATGAAATAATGCCTTGTTGAGGTTCCTCATTAGTTTCAAAAGAAACATCCGTATGAATTGGTTCAGGTATTGAAATCAATTCTTCCTCAAAGACAACATCCCTAACTTTATTCTTCCCCCCAAACTCAACATCCTCGAAAAAGATGGCAGTTCCCGTCTCAAAAATATTTTTATCCTCGGGATTATAAAATTTATATCCCCTAGATCGCTCCGAGTAACCAATAAAGTAACTACTAACTGTTTTGGGTTCCAGTTTCTTTTCATGTGGCCTATACGGCTTTGCCTCAGCTGGACAACCCCAAATATGAAAATGCTTTAAACTAGGCTTTTTACCCGTCCAAAGCTCATAAGGTGTTTTAGTAGTTGCTTTAGTTGGCACTCGATTAAGAATGTAAGCTGCGGTCTTTAATGCCTCACCCCAGAGGGATTCCGGTAAGATAGAATGAGAAATCATACTTCTTACCATTTCTTTAAGGGTTCTATTACGTCTCTCAGCTACATCATTCATGCTAGGTGAACCCGGCATGGTGTATTGAGGGACAATCCCACATTCCTCTAGAAATTTGGCAAAAGGCCCTGGACGTTGTTCACCTGAGCCGTCATACCTCCCATAGTATTCACCACCACGGTCGGATTTGACTTTCTTTATGTGTTTGTTGAGTTGATTCTCAACTTCCGCTTTGTAAGACTTAAACACGTCCAAGACTTGAGATTTTTCATGTATAAGAAATAAGTATGCATATCTAGAGTAATCATCTATGAATGACACAAAATATTGTTGACCATTCCATGAAGGAGTAGGAAATGGCCCACAAATATCTGTGTGTATTAATTCTAAGACATCCGTAGCTCTATATGCACCTTTTTCTTATTTTTGGTTTGTTTCCCTTTAATGCACTCAATACAAGTATTGAAATCAGAAAAATCAATGGAATCTAGTGTTCCATCGGACACAAGACGTTCAACTCTATTTTTAGAGATGTGACCTAGTCGTTTGTGCCATAAAAAACCAGATTGTGCATTATCAACCTTTCGCTTAGTGCCTCGGATGTCAACATTTAAAGCATTATTATATGAAGTTATTGTTTCAAGCATGTAAAGATTGTCATATGACATAAAAGAACCAGTCCCCACAATATTTGAATTCAAAGACAAATTAAACCGAAAGTTTCCAAAGGAACAATGATAACCTAATTTGTCCAAATAAGAAACAGAAACCAAATTCCGCCTAAATGACGGAACAATAAAAGTGTCTTTTAAATCCAAATAGAAACCGGTAGATAATAACAATCTAAAATGCCCAATAGCCTCCACATGCACCGCTTTGCCATCTCCCACATAGACGCATCTTTCAGCATCATTTGGCTTGCGGTGGCTCAGACAACCCTGCATAGAAATACTGATGTTAGATGTTGAACCGGAGTCTAACCACCAAGTATTTCTAGGCACCGAAGCTAAATTGTTTTCAGTACAAACCAAAGCAAGGACCGTACCTTTCTTCACTTTCCATGCGTGATACTTGGTACAATCCTTCTTCATGTGTCCAGACTTCTTACAGAAGAAACAGGTTGTTTCACCTTCCTTATGTTTCATCTGTACTGGACCCTTAGCAGCTTCATTCTTAATGAGAGTTTTCTTCCTCTTTTTACCCTTATCCTTAGAGGTACTAGCCAAGTGAGCACTTTCTGTCTTATTTTGTTTCATCCTCTCTTCCTCTTGCACGCAATATGAAATGAGCTCATTAAGAGACCACTTCTCCTTTTGGCAGTTATAACTAACCTTAAAAGGATCAAATGCAATAGGAAGAGAGTTCAAGACTATGTGTACGAGAACATCTTCCGATATCTCAATCTTAAGTGTCTTGAGCCTAGAAACAATATAAGACATTTCCATAATATACTCCCTTATATTTCCTTTTCCTGAATACCTTTTGGAAGTAAAGTCTTTTAACAACATGCTTATTTCCGCCTTATCGCTTTTAACAAAACGTTTCTCAATTTCATTAAGGAAATCCTTGGCATTAGTAACCTCATCGGATACAGCACCCCTAAAAGATTCTGGAATTCCACGCTTTATGATCATGAGACTTAAGCGATTCGAGCGATCCCACTTCTCATAGTACCTTCTTTCATCTTGGGTACTACCATCCGTAAGAGAAGCAGGTTGCCCTACCCTTAATGCTAAGTCAAGATCCATGCAGCCCAAAGTTATTAGAATATTTTCTTTCCATTCCTTAAAATTAGTACCATTTAGGACAGGGATGGAGTTGAGATTGGCAGATATGCTCGAAAAATTAACTGTAGAAAGAACAAGGACAATGAACATATGTTTTAGTGAAATTGTAAAATGATTTTTAACCCATCACAAGATACCAAATGCACCATTAGTATTTCATCTTTGGACAATAATACTAATTGCTAGCGGTACTCTTGTTGTAACAATAAAATATAACAATAATACATATAAAAGAAAAATCCACCTTTGGGTTGACTTTTTCTTTTAAAGTGCAACCTTATAATTGTTATATATTTATTATTACCAAAATGTATATATATAACTTGATAAAATATTAATCTTCCTTTGGGCCGATTAATATTTACTTGAACTATATATACTATGTTTAATATTTTATATGAGCAACTTACACAATAGAATCACTTTGGTGACATATTGTTTCTATATACCCATTTTAAATACTAAACTTCCTTTTTATTTTACAATTCCGTCACAGCCCGGAAAAATCTTACCGTAATACTACTTAAAAATTTGGCTTTCGCCAACCAAATTTTATTGAATTATACATAATTTGACCATCGGTAATTGAATTCACCAAATTTGATCATAGAAATATCATGAGAGTAATCAACTTTAACATCAACATATTTCTAGCAATTCAATGTTGAAAAACTTGATACTACGTGTACATATAAATTCCACCACGTGGAAGAAATGCATTGAAATAGCACTATATATACACATTCGTGTAAAACAAATTGCTTGACACCATAATTACGTTGAATTATATTCATATACTAAGGCATGGATTCATGCAATTAAGATCAGAATTGAAGCACCGAATATCTTTCACAAATTCGGACATGAATATTCAAGGGGAAAACATGCAGCGGAAAAATAAACATGAAACGGCAAAGTATCCCTCTTTAATTAGTAATTATAAGCATATGAAATGATTCTTTTCTTAAATAAACCAAAGTTTATGAAACGGTTCCTTTTAAATAAATATACTTGAGACTACAAAGAGCCTTTGAACACGGCAAACCAAAACCGAGACAAAGTGCTTGAGTTTCATCAGATCAAAGTTTCATCCGTTCAAAAGGGGAAAAAATGCTGAATTATTGATAAAAGCTTGATACTAAATCGGCAAGAAAAAAAATTTCCAGCGGCGATGTACATAAATATGTATTGATAAAAATATTCCTCACGAAACAACACTCAAACATGCCGCACAAGACTCCAATAATATGAAATCACATATTAAAACAAATTCCAGACAACACGATGAACACATATACAGAATCAAAAACAATTCCATGGATCTATAATGGTAGGCTCTGATACCAATTGATGGAGATTCATACATATATCAACAAAACTCCATATGCGATATATATAAAAATATATAATAGCTAAATCCATATAAATCCATGAAATCAAATATGTATGAACTAAGATTAGAACAATACCTTGAGAATTCATTTGCATTAACACTTTAAGAAGACCCGGAATCCAACACGATTGATCGGCCTAACCTTCCAGTGCTATGTACCGTATGAGATGTTGATTGTCCTAGTCCTACCTATTGATGGGATATATATAGGACTAGTGGAATATTGTAACGGTTGGCCCTTAGTATTCTAATAACTCCTTTATTATTATTACAATAATGATATTATTTAGAATAATTTATTAGGCCATTTTCCGTTACAATATCTTTACTGTTATCTCTTAGTTTACACGCACCGGGGGTCATAACCGTTGTATCACTTTAGTGTAATATATTTAATTTGACCCGTCACCAAAAGAAATATATTATCCTGGTATCTACACTTTTATTATTTCATGAATAGCCACTGTATTATTTATTTGATGGCAAACACATTTTAATTAATTACATATTAGGCCCCTTTTATTGTTTTCCAACATCACCGTGATGTCATCGAATCTCTAACTTGTAAGCAGCCAACATGTAAACTCAAAAACCAATTCCAAATCAATGAATTGTTAAAGAAGATCACCTCAAGCATTTGTTTTTGGGCAATGATTTGTGAACACTTTTATTTAATAGTGTTGACTATTTTTTAAAATTGCCTATTAAACTCTAACAATAGTTTATTCAAAAAAAAAAAAACTCTAACAATAGTCAACAGTCACCACCAATATTCTTAGCATTAGTATTCGGAAAAATATGAACGAGAAATGTTGTGATGCTAATTTTTCACTATTTTTTCAGCAAGTTTATATATTTACATTAATTAATGTGGTAACATGATTGATGATTAATTTATTGCTATCTTTCTTTTATGCTGCTGTTTTAGCCATATGAGTTTCGGTTTCATTAATTTTATATTGCTTTCTACAATAATTAGCTGCTATGTTCCCTTATGTGTTTATTTCAATCTGTTGCTATGTTGCATTGTTTCTTTTCCACTTTTCTGCTACTACATATTTGATAGTCATCCTGGAGGGTTTTGGTTCCCTCATGACTGACAATTAAAGAAGAGTCGGACATTTGATATATGCTTTGTTTATTCAAAGCCACAGTTTTCTCAATTTTTTCTCAAATTGCAACCTCTTTTCACTAAATTTTGATAACTTTTCTAATTATTTGGTTATCTAATATGTGGCCAATATTATTTTACTTCTATGCACAAACATCTGACTTTCCTTATTACTTTATTAAACCTTTTCAAATCAGTTAACCATTGTTTTTATTACATGATTAGTATATCTCTTAAATAAATTTATAGGTTCTCTGTCACATGTGTCCTAATAAAAGAGTGTGATATCAAGAATTTCACTTGAAATTTTATCGGGTACTTTTATCTCTCATTTAGTTTTTGTTTTATTATGTAATTACTTAATTGTGATATTATTTGGAATATATGTGTTTGATTTTTAAATTTCTTTATCTTTTAACTTTCCACCATTGTTTGAATGAAGTGCATGGAAGCACTATACCAAATATATCAAAATCTTAGTTGTTCAATTGTAACCCAAAGGGGTACCCATTCATCAAATTGAGGTCGATTGCATTATTAACTGCGTGGATTTTAATTGTGCAGATGTGGCCAGGCTTGATCCGGGAATTGGATGTTTTCTATTTTGAGTTATGTTTTCTAGGGTTATCAAGAGTAATTATAATTGTAAATCTCTTTATTTTATACTATTATATATCAGAATACATAAAACGTAACAGTCTTGGAGAATGAATACATGCATGCAATTAAGCTTGAACTAAAAACTCAAAAAAACATTTAACATATCTTTCAAGGACAATCACAACTCTACTTGATTGTTCTATGGTGATCTATGAATCTATGATCTAATACACTTGATGATAGAAAAGCATTACAAGCTTCTCTATCTCTACAAGCTTCTCTATCTAGGATAGAAACTAGGTAGTAGGAAGGTAAGTAGAAGGTGTGCAGAAACTTTCCTTGTTATTCTTTGATATAAAGAAAGCTTCATATTCTTGGAAGAAGTTTCATGGTATTGTACAGGATTGAATTCTTTATTTACGTGGTAGTATGTTTTTGTTGTATGGATGTGGAATGTTTTTTATCCCGAAACACTACACATAGTCGGGTGATGTAAATGTCGGGGAACATTGCTTGATCACTTTTTTTAAAAGGAAAATAGCTTATATTAAATCAAATGATCCAAAACAACAACAATATCCCAAAACCTAAACCCCCCTCCATCCATCCAAAATCAAAGCCCATCACTCTCAAACGTAATGATCAGACATAGAATACTCTACCCCAGGAAGAGCGAGACTAATCGCTGAAACTGTGAGAGCATAGAGCCTATTAACGGCTAAATCGGCCTGATTGCCTCCAAACAGTAATCTATCAACTAAAGCAATCCAAAACACTAATCTACCCCTCTTATTGTTTGTCATAGGATAGGAAGAGCAAAATAGAAATAGAAAAATCGTCTGGACTGAAATTAAAAAACTAGAAATAGTAAAACAATCTTCCAAATCCTAGTCGCACAGTTCTTCCATGGCGGCGGTTCGATCAGGAGGGGACATATTTTCATCACTTCATCTTCTTCCTTCATCACTTTGATCTGCATGCGTGTCACCTCCACCTCTTGGCCAAAATACTGCACAAACATAACCAGTCCGAAAGGGAGCAACCTCCACATCTTAATCCTCCGAATAGCCAGCCTCCTCATCATGTTCATTCAGAGTAATCTTCTTCGTCTGAATCAAACAGAATACCCGCTAACCCAGTTCACAATACGAAAGAATCCTTTTCTAAACCTGCTCGGCTACAAATCGGCCGATGTCTTCACTGCCACTCCCCCAGGGGCGGAGCCAGGCACTAGGCTGGACAGGGCCGATACAAAGAATATTTTTGGAAAAAATTTTATATGCAATATTTTACACTAAAAATTTAGAACATTTTAAAATTTGGCTGGCCCAGGGCCAGAGTTGGCCCTCCCCTAGCTCCGCCCTTACACTCTCTACGTCCGCCATTCGGTTTCCAACCGGAACCTAGCCGCCATGTCAAAACACCGCTACCGTCTGCCAAATAAGCCCTAGACAAGCTTGGCTTTCCGCCGCAAAGCTCTCATTTGCGAGATTTATTAAAAAAAAAGGTTTCCTCCTGATTTTATTATTCATGTAGTGAACAATGATGCAATCAATGATAATTAATGCCCTTTCTTTAAAAAAAAATTAACAAAAAAGGGTAAAGTCACGTACGAAGTATGATACAAAAAAGACAACAAATATAGCATGATGCTGGGCCAGGCAGCGGGCCATAAACTTCAGGACGTGGACTAGGTCGAAGGGGAATAATTGCTGCAACCGATATAATATAATAATCCAAACCGCATGTCGTTCTACACTTTTAGGGTTCCAGCGTCATCTTTTAGAGAGAGGCTGCTACTTCAGTACGTCCGACTGAGAGCTGTCCGCAACTTCGGAGAGAAGATCGTCAGAGGTTACATCGCCTTGAGCAGAGAGTGAGGCCCGTTGATCAACCAGAAAAGCGTTGCAAAAAAGATTTGACCGAAGAAAAACTTGAAGAATGTTTTCTCTATCTGATGTTCCTTCAACAACTGCAATTTTATCAACATACACTTCTTTCACTGCTTCAGCTTACCTGATCAGAACAATTCTCAGTGAGTTCAAATCATTGGCCAACCAGCTCTTGCCCGTAGACCTCTTGGAAAAGCTACTTTCAAAATTGGGGGTCCTAATCTGGAACTACTCCTCCCAAACAACTCTCGTCATTGATGAACAGAACAGCTATACCGCAAATGAAATCTTCGAAGCCGCTGAAATTTATCTCCAAACGAAGCTGAAGCCCGCGGCAGGAAGGATCAAAATCTCCAAGGCGCCCACCGACAAAAGCATCTCGTTCATCATTAGCACAGATGAGAAGATTGTCGACTCGTTTGGTGGCGTGGAATTAGTCTGGGAATTGAGAGTCACTTCCAGTTCTTCCTCAGAGAGTAGTACGGAACAGAGATCGTTTGAACTCTCCTTCGACAAGAAATTCAGTGAAATTGTTATCAGCAAATATATACCGTTCGTTCTGGAAAGAGCGAAGGCCATAGAAGAAGAAAACCAGTGCGTAACGCTGAAGGCGTTAGGCCATTACAGCGATGAGATTAATCTGGAGCATCCGTCCACTTTTGAGACCCTAGCGATGGATCCTGAACTGAAGAAGGAAATTATCGAAGATTTGGACAGATTTGTTAGCCGGAGAGATTATTACAGGAGAGTTGGGAAGGCGTGGAAGAGAGGGTACTTGTTGTACGGACCACCGGGAACAGGGAAGTCGAGCCTGATAGCAGCCATGGCCAATTATTTGAAATTCAGCATCTATGAACTGGATCTGTCTTGCTTACGGAGCAACTCGGATCTCCAGGAGCTTCTTCCCACTACTAAAAACAAATCCATCCTTGTGATTGAGGATATTGATTGCAGCATTGATTTGCAGAACAGAAATGATGAAGATTACAGCAATCAAAATAATAATCAGGTGATAAGTTTTTTTCTTTTTTTGACTTTAAACAGGTTATAAGCTTGTAACAGATCTTCCTTCCGTTAAATATGTTTGTAGTGTATTACTTTAAAAATATTTAGGATATGACGACAAGATTTAGAAGTAGGATGATTATTTTTTACGATAGAATAAAGAAAATGTGAGGGAGTATTATTATCTTTCTAGGGTCATCCTCAAATCTCTAGCCATCTCACTTTTTTTTATTTATGTGAAAACTATGCCAAGAAATTACTTAAGTAAATCGTTCTGTATCGGGCTTACAACACAATCGGGCTTACAACACAATCAGGACCACGTGCATATCTAGGCTAAGAATGTTTTCTTTTTTATTGTTTTTAGTCCTAGACCAGATCGACCAGATCAGACAAGATTTCTGTTTTTATAAAATACATAGAGACCAGACGTTACAAGACTGATTCAAACCAGACCAGTTCAGACCAAACCAGACCAACAAATTTATGTTCAAAAGAAATCATCCTAAGACCTGGACTAGAAATGCATGCCCTGGTCAAAGCACG